CTTGTTGACGAAGTGAGCAACACTAGTAAGATCGCAGATCGGGGAGCTTGTTTGTTAATATGAATGGCACACGTACTACATACTGAGGCGACAGGCTACAGGAACATTTAGAGCGTGGATGGCGGACCTGGCACCATGAATTAGGACAGATGTCACCAAGTCCTAATAGTGTCCCACTCCTAAAAGCAAGTGTAGCCCACCCCCGCGAAATGCGATAGACTGGTGTGTGATTGTGACCTGATATGTCATGAAACGTTACATTCCTTAGTATTCGGTCGACGGAAGACGTCGGCGGCATGTACGCTGTCTGTCTCCGTAGCAGAAAAGTGATCCGTTTCTTACTCTGAAAAAGAGTTAGCGGTTGGGCTGTCTCGGGATTTATGCTTAGCAAAGATTTCACCGAGCACGACGAGCTCACATGAATGATGTCAAGGGTACTTAACATAACGCATGTTCAAATATAACCCTGGTTAGTGATTTTGTTGCAACCAGAGGTACGATTAACTGAATCCGCACTATCTACGTGGGAAGGCCCTGCTTCATGTTGCGTACCAGGTGGACAGTCAGTTATTAGGGGCGCGCCTCGAGTTGGTGTCCCCTGGACAGTGAGGCGGCCTGCGCGCCTGACGAAAGAAAATCGATCGTGCTCGATGGATGACGCAGCTGGCAGATTTCGCCAGATGGCCGAATGCTGAATGCGAGTAGAAGCGCCCCTAGATGACCTTGGCGGCAGGTAGTCAGTGGCGTGATGCGCTGGATCAACACGGGGCTTGTCTTGCGTTAATCGGAAACGTCCACTCAGGAAATGTCAACATTTTGTCCGACTTTCAGACATACGTAGACTTTTTCTTTGCTTGATAACCACATTTCCATCAAAATGTCAGTTGCCGATGTCAGAAATGCCAGAGTCGGTTATAAAAACAAAAGTATGTGTTTTTACTTAAAACACGGTTAGATCGCCGTGAGTCACAATTTGGACATATCTACTCGACAGGTCATGAGACGAAGTGCGAATATTTGCATGAGTGCAGACGTTTTCATTGAGAATACGCGTGTGATAGTATAGGAATTTCAGCTCATGCATATTTCACCCTCTGTTCGCCCGTCCAACTTCAATCTGTTGCTGTCTTTGTTCGATAATGAACTTGAAACTTCAAGTGAACATTACTTTGGCCCTAGTGATCGAGTGATTTTCCTCACAGTAAAATAACACTGTTTAGGAAGCTCCAGTTCTGAAAATTATATGGGCTCGGCCTCCGAAGTTGCTCCTAAGAGAAACCGCAGTGTTGTTCATACTTACTTGATTCCCTTTCGACAACGAAGGCATTATTAATCAGTCACTGTAAATATCGGTAATTTGCGGTCAGAAGCCGTTTTACATTCAAAGTGAAACAAATACGATGGAGTTGTGATTAACAATGTAACACGCCATTCCAAGGTTAGATTGGTGTGGATTCGACAATCTAAAGGAGTGTTTCACCCAACATAGGTACACGAAGTCTTGCCAAGTAGGATTTAACTGAATGTTCAAGTGCAATACGGGTTTATAACGTAGTTATGGGTTTCATGTTTTTCAAATAAGCGTGTTGATATATTCGCATAAATTAGATATGCATAATCCAGGACAGCAAACCAAGTGTGGGTAAGAGAAGATGCGAAAAATGAAATAAGTTTTTCTGATCTTAGAACCCTTGTGCATCGAAACGGTGAACACAAACACACACACTGAATTTTAGACTAAACATTTCGTCGACTTCAGTCTGCCAGGCAGACCGCGTTTTTAACAAAAATTTTAGTTTCCAAATTCACGGAATCGCCAAAGTCAAGGTACACAAGGCAAATCTCCCACTCAGGCCAATCGTATCCCTTCGTGGCACTCCGACGTACGGTTTGGCAAAATGGATGTTCGGTCGTCTTAAGTTTTTGGCCGAAGGCTCACCAACAACAGTTGCATCTGCGTATCAATTCCTCGAACGCATAAAGCATCTGAGGTTGGAGCCAGACGAATCCATGGTCGTTTCGCTCTTCACCTCCATCCCACAGCAACTAGCGATAGATGTTGTGGACCAACTACTGGCAGAGCGTTATGAGGAGAGAGACAGGCCTCTGAAGTCTGAGCATCTGCTCGAGCTTCTGCGGTACTGTCTCAAGACCTATTTCACTTTCGACGGACAAATGTACGAACAAATAAAGGGCACTCCTATGGGCTCCCCTATATCAGGCCTAATTGCTGAAGTAGTACTTCAACGGGTAGAACACTTGGCGTTCACCAAATATCAACCAAATTTCTGGGCCCGCTATGTCGATGACACCTTCGTCGTTGTCAAAACAACTGACATTGAACACCTAAAGGGACTACTGAACTCGGTTGACCCTGATATACAATTTACGATGGAAGAGGAAACAAACAACCAACTGCCCTTCCTTGACGTACTTGTGCGCCGGTGTACCACTGGACAGCTGCAAACTACAGTATTCCGAAAATCCACTGACACGAGACAGATCCTACACTTCAACAGTAACCATCCACTGTCTCACAAACGTAGTTGTGTCCGCACTCTATTCCAAAGAGTCGAAACACACTGCAGCACACCAGAAGATAAAAGGGCCGAACGATTGTACCTTGTGGACCTATTTGCAGCCAATGGTTATCCCAGGCATTTCATCGAGAGAAGCAGACGTTGGGCGCCCAGACAACGGCCAAATGAGCAGCAACCCGAAGTCTGGAGGGCCATTCCTTACGTTAAAGGGGTCTCTGAAGCGGTCTCGCGACTGTTACAACCCACCAGAGTAGGCATAGCCCATCGACCACAAGCAACAATTCGACGTCGCCTGATGCAACCTAAAGACCCATTGCCACCCGCTGAAACCTCAGCAGTCATCTACAAAATAAATTGCAATGAGGGCGACTGCAACAATGTGAGCGAAACTGGGCGGAAATTGCAAACTCGCCTACAAGAACACAAATCGGCCACCCGGAGGTTAGACCCTAACTCTCAACTAGCAACACACGTTGGAGAAACGGGGCATACTTTTGACCTCCAGAGGGCTACCATCTTAGGCCGAGGCAACACAAAAACAGAACGGCTAACTCTCGAAGCGTGGTTCTCCGATGACCACTCTATCAACAAGCATCTGGACCTTCCTGCAGCTTACACAGTCTTACGTTGGCTGAATTAAGGCTTCCCCATGCTGTCGTTTTTTCAGGCCCCATCGAGACGCCGAGTATTTCATATCGGTATGAACATAATTGGTCTGTGTTCTTGAGTTTAATACGGCGATATCGACAATAGTCGGTCAAGCTGCAATAGGCTCGCCTTGCGAATAAACATAAGGAGATATGGATTACTTGACGCAGTTAAACCATTGCTGCTTTGGCTTCAAATCCCACCGTGGTACCGAGGCTTTACAGTTTGATCGAGGTGGATGTGTAAGTCTTTAGGAAATATATTCTTAGATATTTTGGCAGATTTTGAATAATTCATATTTACCCAGCTGTAAAAAACTCGGCGAATCGGTGGGTTTCGAACCCACGCAGTAAGGGGGAGTCGTCAGTACAGCCAACGCTCTAACCACCTGACCTACGAGGCCCCGCCGGACGACGCGAGTTTTATCACATTTGGGTCAAGATTCCCGCCCCACTTACTGCAACGTCTGGAATCCACCAAGTCGGATACAGTAATTTGACTGCCCAGGCAAGATTTCCTAAGTAATACATCTAGAATCCACCAGATGGCTACGAGTAATTCATATAGGTATTCAAAGGTATTCACAAAGGTAATTCATAGGTATCATGACAGATACGATTAATGTAGCGTCGTCCGGTGGAGCCTTTTAGCTCTGTTGGCAAGAGCGTTGGCTGTACTAAGGCTAACTCTTGCTGCAGTGGGTTCATACCCCACCGAGGCGCCGAGTATTTCATGTGTGTATAAAAATGACTCGTCTGTGTACTTGAGTTTTATACGGCAATATCGAAAATAGTCGGCCAAGCTGCAATAAGCTCTCCTTGCCAGTCAAAATAAGGAGATATGGATTACTTGGCATAAATAAACCCTTGCTGTCGAGGGTTCCAGTCCCATCGTGGCACCGATTTTTAACAATTCAGTCAACGTGGATGCGTGAGACTTTAGGAAATATATTATGTAAACTGAAGAGACTCTCGGTTCTAACGGATTGGCAATTTAGGACTATACAGTGTTTTTACTTTCAGTTATGGCACAAAATTTATATGTAAGGTAAATTCCCCGCGAGATGGTTTCAAACATGCAGCCCTGTGTTACGTCTTACTCATTGCATTAGGGCTCCTGTCATCATTATTCACAAACCAAGTGACAGACGCGAGCAGATCGCGCCACTTCAGGTGCACCGATTTGCACTAAAATCTACTGATCCGATGCGGAGGGAGGGAGGGAGCTGGGTAGGTGGGATTTCGTGTGTGCAGATTGCAGGCGTGCTGGTGTTGTGTGTTAGCAGGGTGGGGCATCGATTCCCGTGAAAGAAGAGGATGACGCACTCTCTACCCGATCTTCTCTTCAGTCTCGCAGCGACTGCCACCCTGAATTACGCTAGACCTTCGCCGAAGCTCAATGTAGCCAGAGGTGATCAAGATTGTGGTGTGGAATTGTTGTCTTTCGGCGGCTGTACTTCAAACGCAGTCTGCTGAAAAGTGCGTTGTCGATCAGAGTTAGGCAAACATCGGCAAAATCGCACTGCTTGAAAACTGCACAAGGTTATATAAAATACAGGCTTATGGTTTGATCTTGGGCACGATAAACGACGGTGGCGTAAGTGACAGTGTGAGAACGAGAAGGATTAGATCAGATGATGCGTCGGCTCCACGGTGGCATGAAGGCGCGAGACGCAGACAAAGGGACCTGGCAGGAGATGTTCAGGTAAACGACCCTCAGGTAAGCTGAATATTGCCCTGTTGTCTTTGCCCGCTCACCATCTCCATTTCAACAATGAGCCAGCTCAACGGCTAGACAACTTACCAACCGCCAATGCCGCAGTCGCTGCCGTCGTTGAGGAGAACGCATCCGTGGAGAACTGTTGGGACACAATCCAGTCGAAGGCGCTGGCCTTCCTCGGTCGCGCACCCCGTCACACACAATCTGCTCTCCGAGAATGAACGCCTGCAAAAAACCTACATCGACCACCCCACCGACGACGACAACAAAGCAGCATTCTACCGTTGCCGCCGCCTTGTGCAACAGCGGCTGCGCGAGATGCAGAACGCACGGACGGCCCGCAAGGCTAAGGAGATCCAAGGGAACGCCGACCACAACGAATGGAAGGACTACTTCTCCGCCATCTGCTGTCCGCCCGCCGAAGGTATTGCACCTCTCCTCGGCGCCGACTGAAAAACCCCGCTCATAGAGAAGACACAAATTCTGCAGCAATGGGCCAAACAATTCAGAGGCGTCCTCAAAAATCCCTCCACCATCTCCGACACCGCCATCGTCCGCCCGCCCCAATTGAAGACCAACACCAACCTCGACCTCCCACCATCTCTCCACGAGACTATTAGTACCGTGCAGCAGCTCTCCAGCGAGAAAGCGCCCGCATCGGACGCTAGCTCTGCGGAGGTCTACAAGCACGATGGTCCCGAATTCATGGAGCATCCGACGGCACTGTTTCATGATATGCGGCGTCAAGGAGAAGTCTCGCAGGACTTCAACGACACCACCATCATCCACCTATACAAACGGATAAAAAACCGCCAGCTCTGCGACAACTACCGAGGCATCTGCTTGCTGAACATTGCCGGTAAGATATTCGCTCAAATTCTTCTCAACCGCCTGCACAATCACTTGGATCAATGTCTTCTGGCGAAAAGTCAGGGCGGCTTTGGCCGTTATCGTGGCACCATGGGCAGGATCGTCACCACCCACCAGCTGCAGCAGAGGCGTCAGGAGATGCGGACCCAACTGCACTTTACTTTCGTGGATCTAACGAATGCCCTCGACAGGGTGAATTGTGACGAAACGTGGATAATTATGCGGTGATTTGGCTGCCGCGGACGACTCTGTCAGAGGGTGCGTCAGCTCCATGATGGCATGATGGCACGCATTACGGACAATGAAGATGTCTCGGAGGAATTCGCACTGACAAACGGCATAAAACACGGCCGCGTCCTCGCGCCTACCCTCTTCAGTCGTATGTTCCCATCCATGCTGATGGACGCTTAATGCGACGAACGCCCCGGGATCCGCCTCGCCTATGGGACGGCTGGCCACGTCCTCAACCACAGACGGATGCACTTCCGGTCACGTGTATCCACAGTCAACATCCATGAACTTCTGTTCGTCGATAAGCATCTCGGGATCCGCATCGCCATACAGAACTGTGTGCAAACTGTTTAACCACCTGACGATGCAAATTTGATTGCGTTCTTCCACAATCACCGTCCACTAGGAGAGTCAGACTGAAACAACTCCTTCTCAGCGTGTTTACGGCACCCTCACGCATGTCAGATGTACACTGCGCAACCCGATTTGTGTGTAATCATGGTGCTTGTGTTTGAGGAGCTAGGACATGCATGGAGCGCGCGTATACACGTTCACTAGACCCTGTCAGCCACCGCGCCCATTCCACGATCCAGTCAATGGACCGTCTCGGACATTGGCTGTGGCCTGAGAATGTGAAGTGAGAGTGAGATCGACGACTCAGCGCATTTTCCCCCTCCCTTTAAAGTATCTGAAGCTATCACGGTGCACTAAAAGAAGTGGCTTGGCAGGTTGCCAACTGACGGGATAGCATGGACCTCGCAGTCGACCTAATGTGTTTGCGTACGGAGTGGCTGGCTGGTGGCCTTAGAGTCAGGTTCCAATGGCTTCTTCATACCGTGGCTTCTATGGCACTCCCAATGCGTGGGATCTGACCCGGGTGTGGCGGCACGCCTAGGTGCGTCTCAGCCGCGCCAGCCTCAATTCTTAGTTCTTGTTGATGTTGTTGTTTGTCAAAAACCCGGTTGTTTGCCGTTTGGACCAGGGGGTGGGGAGTGGAACGCCAAGGTGCGGGCTCGTCCGTACCATCCACCTGCGCCCTCCCTCACCTCCGGTTCCCTTGACGCCAACTCCAGGTGGAGGAGGAGAAGTGTGTGGTAGATACAGCGCAAGTCTTCCACCTCTTTAAACTAAAGCACGCGCAAGTCACTGTCGCTGATCTCACCCTGCTGTGGAGCGTACGGAGGACGCCGTCGGATGCGACGGTCGAAATGTTGTGGCGTTGCCGTAGTCAGGCCCAGGCCAACATTGGTCTTTCTTCCACTGAACAAAAGTCGGGGATCAAAGTGGAGTTTGGTAGAGGTCTGGGACATATGCGCAGCGTTATATAGTGAAGGCACTGCTCACCCTCGCAAAGGGAGAGGGGCTAGAAAAGCTGTTCTAAACAAATGCTGGAGACCCACGCCGTTTATAGGTTGATCATTTCTATAGACGCAAAACTCACTGTCAGATAGATCAAAATCGAAACAGCACTAATGCCCTTCCTCCCCCCCTTCTACTCCTCCTACCCCGCAATCTCTTCCTCCTTCTTCAACTGCTCCTCTTCCTCCTCCTCCTCCTCCTCCTCCTCCTCCTCCTCCTCCTCCTCTTCCTCCTCACTCTCTTCGCCCCACTCGTTGTCCCAAGA